ACTAAATCACAGTATTGTTTCGGAAGAAGTTTCTATTAACGGGGGAAATTTAATTTGCATGCTTTGTTTGTTTTTCCCCTCCCTTTGAGTTGTGAGCCGCCCTGAGTCCCTTTCAGGGAAAAGGGCGGCATACAAATAAATTAAAATGAAAATGAAATACTTCTAGTCTGGTAACTGAAAAATGAGTTATGAGTTATGTGTATGAATCACACAGACCTTTTGCCTATACTTCTGGTTCTTTGAATTGGTATTTGTAGATTCACAGTATTTACTTATCCACCCTACATTATTTGTGCTTCCTCTAAAACCATCTGATCATTCCCAGTAGTTTAATGGACATGGGTGCAAGAGGATTCACATCTATAAATTCATTGAAGACTTTTCAGAGACTCACAGTTACAAGTTAGCTACCATTATTACAAATTAAAATTACCATCGAATCTTGCTTATCTTCTTTTTTCACCTGAGTTTTTTCTAATTTGCAATGTCTTTATATCCATATCAAATTATCCAGACAGACCTCTTCTGTGAAATATTTAAAGATTTGTCATATAATAACAAGCCATATATTGATTTCTTTCATATGAACCAATCTATTCAATAAACCATTGTTAAGTAGACACACCTTAATGTGACATGTAAAAACAGTTAATGAACCGTATGATTAGCTCTCTCTGCTAAATACCTTTCTCAGTTTTGTTCTTATTGATTTTGCTTACTCATCAAATCTGTTTGGTAACCTTTAGCCTGGATGCCTAATGGGACGGACTAGATCAATTCAGTAGCTAGACGTTATTCCTATTGTATTGTAATTGATCCTGAATAATTACAGTCTTCACATTGTCCTTTAATTATTGTTTGCCAACTCCATTTGTGATTCACACTTACTTTGAAAATCAGTTGATATTAATACAGGTGGTCCTCGACCTACAACAATTCATTTAGTAACCGTTCAAAGTTACAGCGGTGCTGGGAAAAGGGACATGACTGTTTTTCACACAACATTTCAGCATCCTTGTATCATATGATCAAAATTCAGATGCTTGGCAACTGATTCATATTTATGACGGTTGCAGGACCATATGATCCTTTTTTGTGACCTGAGAAAGTCATTGGGAAATCCGATTCACTTAAAAACCATGCTACTAAATTAACAACTGCAGTGATTCCCTTAACAATTGTGGCAAGCAAGGTTGTAAAATGGAGCAAAACTCACTAGACAAATGTTTCACTTAGCAACAGAAATTTTGGGCTCTAATTGTGGTTCTATTTGTACTTATGTGAGATTTAAAGGGGATGATTGTACAGAAATTATTGCTTCTCAAAGCACTGTTAAAATATTCCTGTGTGAAACAGCTATACTTTGCCTGCAGAAACAAATACAAAGTACAATTTGTTTCTGTTAAGTTATGATATCATTTTTCTTCTGTGGGAGATTGGGAATTATATTATTTCAGATAATTTTGGAGCCGCCTCAGGATAGCTTGACTAAAAGTAGATGTTTTAAATGTTTAATTCTTTTGATGAGGTGCAGAACAAAAAAAAAACAGTTTGGAAACTATGCTTGTAGTGTATACACTAATTCATTACTGGAGAAAGAAGCAATTTTGGTCATTTTGTTACAGGGGTGAACAGCCTTTCACAATCACTGAGTGCCAACCAGCTGTTAGCTACCACTCTCACCCACCTTGATCTCTCAGGAAATATTCTTCGAGGTGACGATCTTTCAGTAGGTGTTCTAATTTAATTTTTTATATAGGGAGACTTTTTCCATCTAATTTTTGTAATAATTGTGGTGAAATTACAATTTCCAGAATTTCTACCAAGAATGGACATTTCAAGTTTGACAAAGTGCTCTATTTCACTTAGGTGAAGGACATAAAGCGCATGCTAGCCAGAAAAAAAAATGTTCCAGATGCAAATAAATGGCACTCTTGTTTGCTTTTGCACATGTTTGACTTTAAATGATAAGGGAATGTTATGCTGTTTGACAGAAAGATGGATGATACAGTATCTTTCATTATTGCTTCAGTTAAAAAAAAAAACAAGGCAAAAAACGAAAAGGGAAAAAAAGGGAAAGGTGCCTAATATTTTAATATACTAATATACTCTTAAAAAGAGCCCAGGTGGCGCAGTGGTTAGAGTGGTACTGCAGCCACTTCAGCTGACTGCTAAGCTGCAGTTCGGCGGTTCAAATCTCACCGGCTCAAGGTCGACTCAGCCTTCCATCCTTCCGAGGTGGGTGAAATGAGGACCCAGACTGTGGGGGCGATATCCTGACTCTGACTCTGTAAACTGCTTAGAGAGGGCTGAAAGCCCTATGAAGCGGTATATAAGTCTAACTGCTATTGCTATTGCTACATAAAATTTTAAAATCAAAAATTAAAAATCATTTTTAGCTGAAAATAAAGATGCGTGGATTATTTAACATGAAGGTTGTTGATCTTCCAAAATAAGCCATTTTGTAATGTCTTAATGCTAAAAAAAATAAGTTATTTATTTACTATTTTGAGTTCATGGAGTTAAGACAGAAGTTAAGTAATAAGAAAGCTAAACTTATTTCTTTCTCTTTCACACATCTAGTCCCTGTGTAATTTTTTGGCTCAGCCAAATGCCATAATTCATCTGGATTTATCAAATACAGAGTGTGCATTAGACATGGTAACATTTATTAATTTATTATAGAGAATCCCCACTTTTATATTCCAAATTGTTTTATGTACATACTTACTAATTTATTCCTTTCCAATTTAGTTGTTTGGAGCACTTCTTCATGGCTGCCTTCAGCATCTTGCCATCCTAAATCTGTCAAGGACAATTTTTTCACACAGGTCAGCATTCAAAATATTATGCTTCAGCATGAACTTGGTGCTATATGTGGAGTTCTTAGTGCTGTCTGAGTTTGGATTTTCTTGCACATGTTTGTTTATCAAACTAGGTAACATCATCAGTGCTATGAACAATACTGCTAATATTACCTAGTTGAAATTCCTCAACTTGAATCTTTTCAAATATATTAATTTCTTACACTGATATGGCAAGCATGTCATGCAGTGTTTATACATAGTGAAGAGCCGAAAGGCTATGTGAAAAGTTGTAGTTTAAGTTTGTTTTCAGTTCATTCATTCAACTATGATAATTGATCCAGGTAAGAACGGTGGAGGCACAGTGTTTAGAATGTAGTGCTGCAGGCTACTTCTGCTGACTGCCATCTGACTGCAATTTGGCAGTTCGAATCTCACCAGGCTCAAGATTGACTCAGCCTTCCAGCCTTCAGAGGTCGGTAAAATGAGGACCCAGATTGTTGAGGGCAATATGCTGTCTCTGTAAACTGCTTAGAGAGGGCTGTGAAGCAGTATTGTATATAAGTCTAAGTGCTATTGCTACAGTTATTAAAAGTGGTTAATGAGTGTTATTCAAGAATCATATAAAATATATGTAGCTCTTTAATTTCTCTTATGTATAATTGCTATGCAACTATGGATTCTTATGCTGGCTTTGAAGGTCTTTTGAGCTTATGGAATATGACCTGTTGTTTTTTTAAATCTTCTTCAAAGAAAGAGCAAAGAAATGCCCCCATCCTTCAAGCAATTTTTCAGCAGTTCACTTGCTTTAATGCAAATCAATCTTTCAGGAACTAAACTTGCACCTGAGCCTCTAAAGTAAGTAAGCATGTTTTCTTTCAAGACTTTGTTTTATTTCATTGGGAAAATGTTTTATGAAAACTTTACTGTAGTTAGGAAAGCAACCCATATGTTTTGTGAGTTTAAGAATAGCTATTTGGCTCTCACATGGAGTAAATGTCAGAAGTGAAATATTCAGTATGAATTTGCTTTGACTTGACTTGATGTCCAATCTTCACTCATGTGTAGGAGAAAGGGTTAATATCTATGCAGTCCTATATCTAGACTTGAATATGACAACTTAATACATTATTCCAGGGGTGTCAAACTTGTGGTGTCACATTGTCACGTGACATATCACAACTTTTCCTCCTTCGCTAAACTGAGGGTGGGCGTGGCCAGCATGTGACGCATCCGGCTTGTGGGCCACAAGTTTGACACCCCTGCATTATACCATTTGTCTAGCAAAAAAACTTCAATTCAGATTGAAAAAATCCTATGGAATACTTTACAACATGGATGTCCAATCATATGGGTTGCCTAGGCTTCATTGGGTAGACAGATATTGTCTTGGGCTGCCTATAAAATATATAATATATTTAATGTATACAAATCACATAATAATATTAAAAAATTACGATTTGTAGGGCCACATTATTGTCCAGGGCTAGGGGTTGACATGCCTATCTTTTTATTTCTGCTTTATGAATTATAAACTATAGCGATTTTTCCATCTTATAGTCTAAGTTGCTTAGAAGAATTTGGATATTTTTGTACTTAACAGTTTAAGTGTAATACACTTTGATAAAATTAACATCAAAATGTTTTGGCATTATTTAGAAGATTAGAGACATTGCAGAATGATGTTTCCATAGCATTTGTTTATCACATGTGAGACTTTGCTTAGTATGCTCCTCAATTTTCAAATCATAAAATAAAGAAGAAACCTTGTGTGCACAGTGAAGCTGGAGGTTCTGTGCACTTGAAGCTCTCTAGTTCTCTATAGTATTGTTTGTCCTGAAAAAGCATAATTTATCTAGCACATCCCTTTCAGAGTCCAAATAAGGGCTAATACACCAAATGACTACATTGTTAAAGAACAGCAATATAATTGAAATGAATTCTGTGATTTGCTGATTCAGTAAACTGTATAGCGGTATTCCATATAATTCCAATTTATTTTTCAGAGCTCTCTTACTTGGTCTTGCTTGTAATCAAAATTTGAAGGAGGTGTTTCTAGATCTGAGTAACTGTGAGGTAGGAAACATTTACAAATGCCATCCATGTCAAAATAATATTGCCTTCCTTAGATATATGATTCTTATATTTTGTACATGTCATCATGCTTAAAAAGTAATAAGTAGTCTTTAAAAGTACATTGAATTTGCAAAACCTGAGTGTCTTTGATACAAGTGCGTGCATGAACAGCAACAAGACATGGCACTCTGTTCTGGAATAGGAAAGATTCAGATGGGAAATTTGATTCCACAGGTAAGTCTGCACTAAAAAAATAATTAGGTGTTTAAAACTTAAAATGTTCTCTGTTTTGTTTGAAATCAAAATCTTTCTTGCAATTATTGGCCAGCATAAATCTGTTGTGTTTCTTGTATTTTTAAGTGTAAAGTCTTTTTAGGCTATTCTGAAACCTTACTTTTTATCACAGATGCAGTTAGTTTCTTCAGATAAAGTGACAAAATACACTTATTTATTGATAAGAATCCATTCCTTATCGAGGATTGCATGCATATCAAACAGAAAGCACAGCAGCTCAGACTTCTCTGTCCAGACTCTCAAGATTTCATCACTGAAACGTGCAAACAAAATCATCTCAAATATATCCAGCAACAAACATCTAGCATACTAACTCTGAACCAAAGCTTCATTCCTTTGTATATTGTTGATTTTAATATATAAAATATTTTAGTTGCTCAGGGCTAACATTTTTCTTTTCTTTCTTTCTGCTTCCATTAGCTTGGTCACTGTGTAAGTACACATCATGGCTTAACTAGCAGCCTCTTAATGATTTACCCTTAAGCATCACACTTCCTGCCTATCCATTGCACAGTTTTTCTTCCATGCCTTTAGCTGATAAATATCTGGATGCTGATATTTGACCACAGCATAACAGGTTTAGAGTGAAATGGTCAAAAAACAGTTATGGTCAAAAGAATAGTTATACTTACTGCCAGCTATTTCCTGTGATAAAACTGGAAAATATAGCAATTTTTAAACTGCCTTTGTCCCTACTAGGCTGGAAATTCCCAAATGCACATGTACAGTTTTATTTATTTAAAAATGACAGGCTTTCATTGTTTAATATTCCAAAATGGAATTAATTTTTTGTAGAAAACATCATTATAATTCCAAAGAATCTGCAACAACTTTTGTAGTGTTCATTGTTAATCTAAATTATGAAAGAGTGACATTTGGGATTGGTTGTTCTCAATCTTCATCCTGCCCTTTCTAGGTAGAAGATAGTATCTTAATCTAACTATGCATTGGCACCTTATTTATTTAATCAGCAGCCCTTAGATTTCCTGTGATCTCTCATCCAAGTACTTATCATATCTAACCCTGCATATCTTTTTCAAGATCAGAGAAATGGGAAACAGCTGGGGAGTTAAAGAGTGCAGTGGTGATCAAAAGTTATTGAATTTTCAATATTTCTACATAAAATACCCTAGAAATTGTCTTTCTACACACAACACCTAAAGATTGGTAAATAAAATTCAACCAAATTAGTCATTACACTTATTCAATGAAGAAAATTATACAAGCTAATGTTTGAGTGTGGCAAAAGTATGTGAACCGTTGCTTTCAGTAACTGCTATAGCCCTTTTTGGCCATAACTGGAACATTGAACTAAACATTTCCATAACTATTGATCAGGCCCACACACCAGCATGTTAGCACATTCTTCCTTCCAGAGAAGCTTCAGCTCAGAGAAGTTGGTGGGCTTCCTTGCACAAAGTGCCTTCTTTAGGTCCTTCCACAACATTTCTATGGGATTAAGATCAGGACTTTGACTTGGCCATTCTAAAGCATTAACTTTCCCCTGCTCTAACCATCATTTGGTAGTATGATTTGTGTGTTTTGGGTCACTGCCTTGTTGCATGACCCACGTTTTCTTGAACTCCAATTCCTGCCTAGATTCCCTGACTTTTTCCTATAGAATTTGCTGGTACAATTCAGAATTCATACATCTGTTAATGATGATACGCGGTCCTGGTCCAGAGGCAGCAAAGCAAGCCCAAATCATGAAATTGCCATCACCATGTTTCATAGATGGGGCAAAGTTATTATGCTGGAATGCATTGTTTGCCTTTTGCCAAACATAACACTTTATATTCAAGCCAAAAGTTCTGTTTTGGTCTCATTCATCCAAATCCTTCCAATAGCCATCTGGCTTATTCACATGGCCTTTTGCAAACTGTAGACTGGCAGCAATGTTCTTTTGGGAGAGTACTATCTTTCTCCTTGCACACGCACACCATGGTTGTTCTCAGTTCTTCTGATGGTGGTCTCATGAACACTGATATTTCCTAATACAAGAGTGGCTTTTATTTTCTTCAGTGAAGTGAAGTGCACTTCAGAGTTTACTGCAATATTGTATGGCTCTACTTGTTCTCTTTTTGTTGTTTCAATTGACTAAGTGTCAAGTCAGCAGCTTGGTGGCCAAGAGTCATGTAGAGTATAATTAAATCTTGATTAAAGAGATTTTAAAACCTTGGGAATTGGTATATAGAAACAAACCTGAATGTTGTTTAGATCAGGAGACCATTGGAATATCTATGGGAGCGGTTGTAAACTTTCTTTAAAAAGGATATTACTTAAGAGGACAATTTTTAATCAGTGTTTATAATTTGTAATATATGTGCCTTATTTAACGTCAAATGGGTTAAACCACATATTAACAATTAATAGATATATGAACTACTGAAGCATATTTGTAATATTTCCGCCAGTTGTTCTCCATTGTTTAGATGCTAAATTATCTAATATTTTCTTTTTTCCTCCAGCTAAGATCAGCTGGTGCGCAGGTTTTAGAAGGATGCATAGCAGAAATTCATAACATTGCCAGCCTTGATATTTCAGACAATGGTAAGGTAGCATATTCACAGTGATTCAAGTACTGTACAGAGAGAAAACTGTTTAAAGAAAACAAATCATATAAAGTAATTTTATTGGCATCAAGCAAAATGGTTCTAGTTGATAAAACCTTTTGTGGTTTGCAAAACAGTTAAAAGAGTTTGTCAAAATGCAGGATAATAATATCTTGGTGCACTTGTTCAATATAAACTAAATACCATAAATCACAATGGATAATTTTTAGGCAAACTCTGGCTTCTTATGCAACAGTTTAGAAACTACTGTATTTTTCAGAGTATAAGACACACCTTTTTCCCTAAAAAAAAAAGGATGAAAATCTGGGTGCATCTTATATACTGAAAATTGCATTTTTTGCCTCCCGAAACCCCACCCCTTCACCAAAATGGCCATGCATAGCCTTTAGGAGGCTTTCAGAGTGCTCCTGGGGGCTGGGGAGGGCAGAAATGAGCAAAAAATGGGCCATTTGGGGGGGGGCCCACCCCCCAGGAGCACTCTACAAGCCTTCTAAATGCTATTCATGCCCTATTTTTTAAAATAATGGACCCATTTTTGCGAACAACAGGCCATTTTTGGGAGGTCTGCAGAGTGTAAA